TTCTTTTTTTTTTTTTGAGACAGGGCCTCACTACGTAGTTGAGACTACCCTGGGACTCACTATGTAGCCCAGGCTGGTCTCGGACTCACAGGGATCCTCCTGCCTCAGCCTCCCGAGTGCTGGGATTACAGGTGTGCGCCACCACACCCAGCAAGCACAACTATTTTAATACCTCCAACTTTAGAGCAAATTCAAATTCTCAACCATAGACATCAGAATATGATACACAAGCTTTCTTACACTTTTGGGCTCCATTGAAGAGAGCTCGGTCTTTGGGAGTGTCACCAACTTCAATGATCTTGGCACCAGCCAAGAGTTGCATGATAAGGCCGGACGTGACGATGGGAGAGATGCCCAGCTCCATCAGTGTGCCTTGACAGAAAAGGAAGGGAGGACAGTCAACATTAGCTTGGAGAAGCAAAACATCACTAATCAGAATGAATGGACACAACTGGATGGGTGCCCCTTACACAAATCCAGCATGTTTCAAACAGAAACATTGGGTAGCAGCATTTATAGAGTAACTCCCCAATACCAATGATTAGAGTATAATTTAATTTATTCTTTTCAGCCTGCCAGGCAACATCTTACTGTTTAGGAAGTCACATGGTGTCTCAAAAGACTGCTACATTTAAATTCATCATGAGCAGATTCATTCTGGTCTTACAGAGATAAGAAAGGTTCGTCTCTTCATCAGTGAATAAAAAAAGGATAACATTCAAATCATTTCCAGAGTCTGTAAAGGAGGCTGGTGCAGCTGCATCTGGTTGTGAACAAACCTCTACTTCCCATTATGCTAAAATGAGCTATACCTCTGACTGATTTGGAACTTAATTTGAGCTACATTTTAAAAATGGATTAATCAAATCAGTATCAACATACACATTCAAAATCCTCCCAAACTCTGCAGGTGACTAGTTAGAATATACAAAACACTGGTATGACACATATACGTAACCTATAGATATGGAAAAGATGCAGTTAAGAAACAAATCACACATTCTAAAGGATGTTATCAACGGACACCCAGCATTTGAGGTATTCACAAGGTATTCTAGCTTTCCCATGTTTCTTCAAATTCTCTACAATGTAGACTTATCTTGTTATTATAGGTTTTGTACTGTATTTATACCCAATTCCAAACATGATGGTATTCCTTGGTGCTGAATGCAGCATTTAATTAGTCTATTCAATGGGGCATGCCGACATTCCTCCCTTCCCAAACACTCTCTGAGCTCCATAGAAAGCCAAAACCTATAATTAAACGGAGGCTGGTTGAGTCCACAGTGTGCAGAGAAGAAGCAGAGAGCCACAGTCCTACCCCTGTTAGAGGCTAGAATCACTCTCATCCAGTAGAAAGGGTCGGCTGAGTCTGAAGACATGATACCAAACAGGGGAATCTGCAAACAAGCAGAGAGAAGAGCGGTGGGCACCTCATTTCCAGCCTACTCCTAACCCCATTCCAACACCAAAACCTGAAGCCCGAGCATTTTACCTGGCAGCATACTAAGAAGATAAAGAGGGTGATGGCTGTCCACAGCACTTTCTCCTTAAACTGAATCTGTAGAAAAGAAAGCAAGCATGGGAAGTTTCATAACCAAGTTAATAAAAATGGATTCACACTGGATCTCCTTCCTCTGTTCACCTACCAAACAGTATTAAAGCCAAAAATAGGTATCATATACTGCCCATGTAGGAGGCACAACGCAAGGTCTCGGTTAATCCTCCCTCACCAGAGTCTTCATTTTTATACAATGAGAAAACCAGCTCTTGGACAGGCCAAGTCCTTGATCCATGCCACACAGTTGAAGTAAGTTTGAGTCTAAACCTATACTCTTTACTATTCACCTAAACCCAAGATCAAGGAAGTCACAAAAGAAAGTGACTTTCACAAAACAAGACAAGCCTTGATGACATCTGAGCAACTACTTTTCATTTGATAAGAGTCGAGAAGTAAGAAAATCTTATTACTCTGGAGCCAACTAATTTGGAATTTGGGATTGCTCAATAGTGTATTTTTATGATCTAAGGTAATACACGTAGTAAGCGATACTGGGGGAGGACAGGAAGAGCTACATGTTTAACCTGTACTGTAACATCTGTTTAACTTCAAGAATGTTCTCATCTTCTAAGTCAAATAGGTGACAAGAATCATTTTATAAATGATTATCAGGCATCATTAAAAAAATTTAGACCCTTCCTGCCCACGGCCTCAGCCACTCACTGGCACAGAGGGAACTATTCTGGGTCTTCTTCCTCTTAAACACTATCTTCACTAGTACAGAACTGCCTGTCTATACCACCAGAATGGATGTGGAAGGCTTAACAAACACATGAGTTATTATGCAGACTGAGGGTTTGAGGTGGAACTACCTAATGGGTGACACTATTATTAAAGGACCAAATTGTAGAGGAGAAGTCTGTGTGAGTGCTGGGTCAGGGTCGTGGCAGCCTGGTCAGAACAGTAGTTGAGTCTTCTATGTGGACCACAACATGGGAAGACTGGATACACCCAGCCATGGAGGTGTGACTTAGGGCTGCAGACACACGAAGCTGGGGATTCACAGAACTCTTCTTTGCCTTGAGAATGCTCCCTTTTCCACTTGTCATCCCACCCCGCCAAGAAACTAGAAGTTGGCCAAAGAAAGGCTTTCTGATTAACCAGTGATGTGATGAGCTTGTCATGAAATCAATCCTCATGAAAAGGAAGAGGGAGACAATTTTTTCATGACTCACAATTTTAAAATGACCAAGTCTCTTCTGGTTAAAAGCAAACCTAGCAGCAAAATTTCAAAAGCTCTTTAAGTCGTGTCTCCTCTTTCCTTAAATAGCTCCTAAATGCATCCTTGCTCAATACCCTCCAATGCAAAGGCCTCTAAACCATCCTCTAGGCTTCTCTTTTACTTCCAAAGTGACCTTCTAATCTCTGTCTTTTTATTATTCTTACCTACTGTTCCCCATTTACTCTTTATGTCATATCAATGCGAACTACATTTAAACACTTTCATCCAAATATTGACTATTCTTGTCTTCTTTGCATCCGCGAAGTATATATTCTTGACAGAATTCCCTTCCACACCCTCAGGAAATTTCTCATCATCTCGCCAAACCACCAGACAACATCTCTTCTAGAGTTTGTGCGCTATGTACACTTGCACATACCATATTTCCCTCACCAAGATCACACAGCTGTTAGGAGACAATGTAAAAGGCAGGAGGACGGCCAGGCTCCAGAGCCTTACCCATTCCAGGACACTTATACAGAGGGGGCAGCTATGCCATTTAGTTCATCAAAGGCAGCATATATCAGAGGCATTTATACGAAACTATTTTATGTAAAAGAACAAAAGAAGATTCTAAGCACCCAAACATCCACTTGGATGTCGACTACACATAAACATATGTGACTGCATTACAACAGTCTGAAAACAGTGTGAAGACAAGATAGCTTTCTGTTCATCTAGTGAAATTTTCCTTCATTGTCAGACTTCACACTCACTCTTCTGGGCTGTAGCTGGGCAGCCATGGACATTCTGATAAAATTCACCATAAAGCTACACTCTTTTCTTGTTTTAATGCACCTGTTATGAATAACAGCAGACTTCACAAAATGCCTATATTCTCAGCACTGTGACAGCCTATATTAAATGTACAAACTAGGTCTAAAGTGACTATTCTTTCCCTTAGCAGCTGGGTATAAAGGACACCTCCTATACGGGTAAAAACACTCCATGATCTGCTCAAAGAAGGGACAGCCGCTCAATCTGGGGATCCTAACTGGGGCCTTATTCATCCACAGCCCTGACTATCTCTGTCTGGGCCAGGGCAAACTTGAGGTTCTGTTCATCGAGCAACAACCACCAAAGCTGCTCCAAATACAGAACGATGATTAGAAGCGGAGTCCACACAACCAGGCCGCCTCTCCACAGCGCTCTGAGGAGCCACAGCGTAGGCTCCGCTCCCCTCCACACTCCAGGGGAAGGGAGTGAGTTTCCAATGAGTGAGTCGAAGCCATCTTTAACTGTACTGTAAACTTCAACGCCCGGTTTCACCAAGCCTCCTCTGATGGCCATTTGGGGAACTTACCTTCCGCTCTGGCTTCTGAATTTCCGGCAGGATAACACAGAAGGGCTTGATGACTTCCAGAAATTTGACTTTGATGAAAGAAACAAAAGAAGAGTTAGGACACAAGGAGACCTGCCGCGCCACCCAGGGACGCCCCGGGTCCAGGACGCAGCGGCGCAGGCTGGGCCCGGGGAGCGCGAGGATCCCTAAAAAGGGCTGGGAGTGCAGGCAGGGCGCAAGGGGACCCAGGCGGGCCTGGAGGGTGGGAGCCCGAGATCCAGGGCGGGGGAAGGGGTCTCGATGTGTCCCGGAAGCACCGGGGCTGCCCTCGAAGGACTCACTCGCCATGGCGGCGGCTGCTTGGGCTCCGGGTCCCGCTTCGGCTTCGCTCCGCTCCGAATGAGGAGACGGGGCCCGCTCCGGAGCAGAGCACCTCAGCCGAGAGACACGTCAGTGCTAGCCCCGTGGGGAGCGGC